TTGACTACATTTGGTTTCAGAATTTGGTTTGTTTTCTTCTAAAAACCCCATTCCCTTATGTCAGCTGTAAACAAGCCCCTCTCTAGAGGAGGAAGGCTGTTTTCCATCAGGTAGCTCCAGCCCAACCAATGATAAAATGGTTGGCAGTGAGCTGGGGGCAGAGATGCACTTCAATCCCATGTGTCCCTGCAGGCAGAGAAGCCCTGTACGGAGACGGCCTTCAATAAATACTTGCAGAGGAGGTGAATCGTGCTCAGTTCCCCAAGAGTGGGGGTGGGAAGCCTGAAGCTCCTGGGGAATGGTGGGGGCAGACAGCCTGGGATTATACTTGATCCACAGATAATCTCCCAAATCCAGAAGCCACCTGGACAGCAGTTTAATGGACTGAGGCCCATCGTTGTATACATGTTGACGTTGCTGCTGAATTCACAACAGGTTTACAGGGACCAGAGAGGGATTCCTCCACAGGCCGGTTTCTTATTCTCATTATGGGAGAGGAACAGAGAGCTATCAATCCTTTTGAGAGCAGAATCTATTGGAGAGGATCAACTAATCAATTAATGAATTAATCAGTCTCCCTTTCCCTCTTAACTTTTAGAAAGTTTTATTATGGAAATCTCAAATATACATTAAAAAAAGTGGAGAAAACGATATAATGAACCCCCAGTATCCAGCATCCAGCTTCAAGAATCACCAACACTTGCCCGATCCAGAGTCATCCATACCCCATGCCTTGAGGCAGATCTCGGATATCATCTTACATGCTTAAACACTTCGGTCACGGTGGGAATCCATTCCGGATTCATCTGGGGGGCCACGGCCGGTTCCTGGCCCCGCTCAACCCCCAGCAGGTTCTCAGCCCACGTCTCTAAAACTGAAAGCGGATAGTGGGGCGCCGGCGCCGCCCCCTCCTCTGCTTCCTCCTCTTCCCGCACAGCGTGGGTCATCTCGGTACTGTGGCTTTCCTGACATCCCACCCGCAGCCCGGGTGATGCCAGAGTGAGTCCCTCCGCGCTGCGCCGTGGACAGAGCGAGGAGGCGCCTTCCACTTCCTCTTTCTCCCTCTGACTAACCCTCGGCGCCCGCCCCGCCCCTGTGGGCGTGATCACGACAGAAGGGGCGGGGAAATACCCATATTTGGCCTTATATGGGCAGCCACGTCACAGGCCGCACACTCATTCACATAAAACGCGGCGCTGCCGGCGGAATCCCCGGCTTCTGGGGCAGCAAGTGGCCGGGCCGGGTGCCGAGTGCGCGGGGCGGGAAAGAGCACTGAGCGGCCCCTCCGGCGCTGGGCTCCTTCGGCCGGCCTCAGCCCCGCGGTGGCCCTCCCGTGCCTA